TCATTTATTATTAAATTATAAGAAAACGCGCAGTGACAAATGATCGTTGCATAATGCGAAGTCTGCACATGGATCGGCCACGTACCAGCCACTATAAAACTGATGGTGAACGTTGAATACTGATGTCGATTACTGTAGCCAGTAGTGTCGGTTGGAATGATGGTGACGGCTCGAGTGATGGCGGATCAAACGACAGACAGATTGCCAGCAGTTTCCATCCCCGCATCAACAAATTTCTGCTGGGATTATCCGTCATTTGCCGGCACATCTAGATTACTGCTATTCCCTCGTAAACTCTGATTCTTCACCGGGTTAGATTTACAGCTAGATCGTACATGGTTCGCTGTTACCTCCTCTGATCTGGAAATTTAAGCATCTAGTTTAGAAGATTCCTTCCCGAATTGCCTTAACCACTTCAACTTACATGTCCTCCATATTCTCGCGATCGGAAAGTTGATTTATTAATCCGTACTTCACGTACGACTACCGTGACGTTTATTCGACCATTCGAACATCGGAATGGCCCAAATCTGCGTTGGTCGGTTTGTGGTCTAAACACCGGGCTTGACCACGATTGGATGATTCTCAAAAAAAAAAAACGATCTTCGGATTAACAACAACCAACCTTCATCTCTCTCAAACAAGCGCCAAATTACATAAACGGTCGTGCTATCGGAATGGCACAGAAATTTACTTAGAACCTTAAGTTATAATTACCAAATGATAGAAAAACGTGTGCTCTATTGTTTTTATCCTTATCTAAGATTTTATTTATTGAAGGAATCAAATATTTATACCAGAATCAAATTACTGTTTTGTTAGAAAATACTGCATACGCCCTTATCATAGCTTGAGCGATGAACTTTTTCAGTTTGACGTTTCTAGAAATGAACACGGATTGCAAAAATTGCGAACGATGCTCTAGATGCAGCAAACAACATAGCACCTCTAAGTGTACGTCAACTGTATTGAAATGCGTTAATTGTTTAAAAACTAATAAGGAGCGTAAATTAAATCTGGACGTCAACCACGCAGCATTTAGTTCTAATTGTTTTGTGTATAAAAAACTATATGATCAGAAAAAAAGCAGCTTACATTTCAATAAATAGCAATCAAGTTCCAGTAGTAATGTGAGTAAATTAGAGATTTTATATTTGAATATTGCGGGGTTATCTACAAACTACGTAACATTACGTCAGATTGTAGAAGAAAATCGTCCACTTTTGGTTTTGTTAGCAGAAACACATATTGTAGAAATTGAATCTTTTGATCAGTATAGCATTCCGGGATATAAAGCTGCTGCTTGTTTGTCACATTCGAGGCACACTGGCGGTGTTGCTATTTATGTCAAAGAATCAGTTCAATTCAATATTCGCCAAAACGAAGTTATTGATGGCAATTGGTTCTTAGGCATTACAGTTGAACGTGGCATGAAGATGGGTAATTATGGTGTTTTGTATCATTCTCCCAGTTCAAGTAATCAGCGTTTTATTGAAATTTTAGAGAACTGGTTCGAGACATTTTTAGATTCTAGTAAATTAAATATACTTGCGGGTGATTTTAACATTAATTGGCATGATACTAGCAATTCGATCCATCTGAAGCAATTAGCTGATTTCTTTAATTTAAAACAATTAGTAAGTGAATGTACGCGTATTTCCCGGCACAGTAGAACTTTGATTGACCATGTTTATTCTAATTTTGATTCTGTCAGTTCAGTTACTCAAGCTGATTTGAAAATAACCGATCATGAAACTGTAGTAATTAATTTCTTAGACAGTGTTAACGATAACGATAATTTTGTAAAATTGAAGTGCTGGAGGAAATATTCGAAGCAAGCTGTTTCGAATCTTGTTGAGAGAAGCGTGGATTTTCCATTAGTTACCGGAACTTTAGATGAAGATGCAGCTGTTCTTACTAACGTTTTGAAAACTTGTACCAATAAATTAGTTGAACAAAAGTTTGTTTCTTTGAAAAACTCGAACAGCTGGTACAATTTGGATCTTTTGCGTCTTAAACGTAAGAGGGACAAATGGTACAAAAAGTTTTGTAGATCTAATAGTGATAATCATTGGAATAGGTACACGGTCGTGCGTAATAAATATTCACAATCGATTAAGAAAACTCGATGTGAATATATTCAGAGGAAAATTGATCAGCATCAAAACAACAGCAAAGAGTTATGGAAAATTTTGAAATCTTTGATGAAGCCTAGTAATTGTAAATCGCGGACCATAACTTTTGATGGCATATTAGAACAGTCAGAACAAGTAATTGCTTCTAAGTTTAATGACTATTTCGTCGAGAGCGTTTCACTGATCAATCAATCTATTGAACTGATCAATGAACCGGACGAAATAAAACAGCCGATTAATAGTAATTGTAGATTTAATGGTTTTCACCCAATTACATTAGATGAACTTAAAAATATTTGCTTTTCATTAGGAAAAACGGCTGGAGTAGATAATGTTAATGCTAGAGTTATTCAAGATTGCTTTCATGTCATTCGACACACTCTGCGGGACCTTATTAATCAATCATTGCAATCTGGGCACGTGCCGCATATTTGGAAAGAATCTTTAGTTGTTCCTATCAGTGCAGTAAAATATCAAAATCAAATGATAATATTTGATGATTTTGAGGGACGCATTTATTCATTTTCATCGAGCCACTTTTCGATCATTTGATTTTGATTAGCGCTATCATTTGAGTCACTATAGTTCATCCTCAATTGACTAACCGTACGAGTTCATTTGACAATGTTTATCGTACGTTATACCACAGACAGACATACAAATTAGTACCGTTGTACTTCTTTAATCTAGTACCTCAGAACGTACAATTTGTGGTACTAGCTTAAAGCAGTACAACGGTAGTACAACAGTGAACTTTGTATGTCTGTACAAGGTATTAGTCATTTAAAAAATAGAGTTTCACCTCAACGATCCCATGAACAAGAGTGAACGACGAGACATGCTGTCAAATCTCAAAATGAACGCGTAATAACGTACGTAAACAATGGGTTCAGCCATCGTTGGTGGCACAACTTTTTTCACATCAGAAAACATGTTGTTGTTTCACTTCATGTGGACGTCGAAAGCAGGCCAAGAATAAATTTTGAGTGAGACGTATTACTGATGTTGCATTATTTTCCTCATATCTTGGAATTTAATCGATTTGATGAAATCAAAATTCATTATTTGGTCTGGTTTGGTTAATTCCTCGGGGGCATCTGGGACATGCCCGGAACTGACCAATGTGATCCACGGCGCTCGAAATGGCCACAATTGAATTGGTTAACATATTTTGAAGTAATTTGTTTTGTAACATGATAGGTTTTATTCCATACCGGTCAAATTTAGTATCATGGCTCACATTCCCCAAAACATGTTCCTGCCACATTTCCAGCACAAGTTGACCGATTCTGAATTTGTTCATTAAAGCTCTATGGACGAGGCTATGGGATCATGATACTTTTCATTTGGTGGTTGTTGCTTGCAATTCGCATTAGTTATTACCGATAAATACGACTTAGCTCCAAAAATGCATGTTTATCGGAAATAGTTGACCGATTCTAAATTTGATCAACATCATTCAATGTGACCATAATACTTTTTGTTAGCTGGTTGCTTCGTTTAGATCGCGAATTTCGCGATTTTCGGGTCTTGTTCCGTCCATATCTCCGAGACCAGTTCTTCGATTGAAAATCTATTAATCAACACCCGCATTAACAATAACCATAAGAAGCGCCTAACCACCAATTCGGATTATCATACTAACTATATGTGGTATGGTCGTACCATCTATGATATCGTTAGTGAATGGTACATGTTTATTGGGGCATTCTATAGAATCATGGTACCTTTCATTTGATGGCTGTTGCGTTTAATTCGGTAGAGTGGTTGCCGAGAAATTCATTTAAGAAAAATATGTTACGCGCTCTCACAGATAGGCATTTTCCGATCCCGTTATGTTGAGTCGATTGGATAACTATGAGAAAAATATCAATGTTTTTACAAAAACAAAACTCAAAAACGTTTAAAAAAGAGTTGATCAAAAATAAGACCAATTGTAAATTTACTCCACCATTATTCGATTTGACAGAACCAGAGTACCAGAATTTTCGGGGTACATTGACTTTATACTGGTGCTGTCAAATAGCTCCCGGGGTGGAAAAATCAAACATAAAAACATTGACCCAAGCTGCAGGTTGGGAAAACTTGCTTTTTTAAGAGAAGCGGAGCCGTGTTGGAAATCATACCAAATCTTACGAATGGATTCAACTGGAGTTTGTTTAACCGGTAAGTTCTGTGATAAAATTAAATAGCAGTCAGAATAAAATAACTTCCAAATCTCTTTATCGCAGGTCAAACATGAAGATAACTGCAGCTGAGCATTCAGCATTACCAGTAAATCAATATGCTGATGCTGGATTCTGGCGCATTATTTTGAGCAGAGATTGCTCAAATTCGATTCAAAGGATTCAACCGACAGTGCTTTTCAGGGAAATTTCCATCTGGAAACTTGAGCTGAAACACCCGAAGTGCTTGCATTCATTCTTGGATAATACTGTACGCTTACGATGCGAAGGAGTACTCGATGTTCAAACTCAGCACCATTCAATCATATTGTGATTTTCCGTGTGATAAATAATCACTGTTAAAAACTAGTGTTGGTGCCATCCACAAGTTATGTAAGCATTTGTTTGGAAGAATTGGGAGGCGGATTGAGATTTTCTCAAACGCCATACAACAAGAGTACATTTTATGTTATCAAAATCTTACAATTAGGGGATAGAAAATGTTTTAAAAAAACCTTTCGTATGTTGTGAGTGGTCACATAATGAGAATAAATTATTAGTTGCTTCCTTGACCTGATTTATGGTTCTTTAACTGACAGGTTTTCGTTATGCTATCAATAAATTACAAATTACAAATTATTAGTGCGTTTAGAATCTAGTTAATCTTTTTACATTCATGCAGAAACAATTTTCTTCATCCCGACCCATTTAGAGTAAAAAATCATACCATACATTTTGCACCCTAAAAAGTTTGGTTGAGACTTGGATTTGGATGAGTAGCGATAAATGGAATCGAAAGAAATGATTTATTAAGTATATTGTGTTGCATTGATGGTACATCGTCAGAGTTAAATGTAAAACATTCGGAGTATGCAAAGCCTTTTACTTTTCCAGATTTGCTTTCCAGTCGTACATGGTGGCAGCGATTTGTTCGTAAACATCTTTGTTCAACTTTACCAGTAGAATGTTCTCCAACGTATCCTCACCCAATGTTGAACGATGAGGCGAGAGAACCAATCCTAAAGCACTGAATGCTCTTTCAACCATAGATTGGGTAGCAGGTACTGCCAATACCACAGAAGCAACTGCTGACAACTCTGGGTGGCTTGTCTTCCGTTTCATCCAATGTTCCCAAACATTATAGCTGATGCTCTGTCGTTGTTCTGCCTCGAGTGCTTTCAGCTGTTGTTGGAATGTTGCACTCGATGTATTGGATCCGATCAGTGATCCCCCAAACATTTCCGTGATAAAATCATCCTTCTCGTTGTTGGTTATGACAGTGCTGGCTGAACATGTTTGTTCATCATTATGTTGAGGATCCAGCTGTTTGATTCTGCTCCATGTTTGGGTAATGAACCTCTGCGATAGGAAAAAAAAGTGATTTTGCACATAAGCTTTTTAATCTGATCTCTTAGCGAATGGTTCATACCTGTATTTGATCTTTTTCTTCATTCGTGAAAATCTTTGAATTTTGATAGTTGAAGCGGGGGTCCAGATACAGGGCCATCTTAAATGCCATGGAGCAGCGCAGATTAGTTAAACGATTTGTCAAAGCTTCAGTCAGCTCATGTGAGAACGGGTTGTTCTCTAATTTTCTCACTGAGCAAATCGTCATCAACCACTCCATATAGAAGTCGCTTAGAGAAACGTGAGCTTCTTGCAACTTTTTAGTACATATATAGCATGGTTTGAAGGCTTCGACGTATTGTTGAATAAATTCCCAGCTTGATGAAAGATCTGGAATTAGCCTATTGAAAGTTATGCTTAAAATAGATATTAACAATTAACCATACCTTGTTCAGGAAACTCTTGGCCCAACTGCGTGAAGAACGGCTTTTGCTCAAGGAAGGAATCAAGCATTTTGTAAATTCCGCCCCACCTTGTTTGGCACCACACAGGGGGGTATGTAGCTTGATGGTAGTCGAAACTGGTCTTGTATTTTATGTTTTTACAACGCTTTGCGATTTCGGTCACTTGCTTCACCATTTCATTCCTCTTGTTGATCACATCGAGAATAGCAAGTTGCAAGGTATGTACAGCACATCTAATCATGTTCAGGTTTTCGCGGGCATGGTCGTGGAATTCATTCGTCAATTTCTCAACAATTTCATCAGCGATTTGCAGAGTGTTTCCTTCCGGTTCCTCTAACTCCATCGAAGCGATGGATGATTCAAATTCATCTTTCAGTTTCCGTATGCATGCGAGCATATTCGCACCGTTATCCACTGTAATTGAAAATATTTGCTCGAGCTTAATATGATAGCGAGCCAATATTTCCAGAACCTTGCACTTCAACAAATCAGCAGTTTGACGGTCTTTGATTTCAATCATTCCTGCAAAAAATATCTCTTAAAATGCTTTAATCTAGGAGAGATAAACAGAATGATACAAAAAACTCTGACATAGTAATTCTACTAATGAATTATAAAAATATTTACTAGGCAATCCGGAATATTTGTACCATTCTTTTCTAATTTGTACAAGCTTACCAAGTGTCCTCGTCACAATCTTGCTATCCACTACATATTGAACGCCAATTCCCAACACATGGTGATTCATCCGAGTAGCTGAATCGATCATTAGGCAAAGCAATCGACCATTAGTCTCAGCTGCCATGGCTGGTACTATTTTAGAGACTGCTTGGTGAATGTGTGCTTTCACATTTGGACGATTCATCTTAAGTCCAAGTGCTGCACCCAAAGGATCATAAATCTGACGTAGACCCTCCCATTCGAAGCATGTTAACGGGAGATGGTGATACGTAACAAGTTTTACGCTTGAGTCAACCAACAATTGTCTATCGATAGGAACTGATGTTTTCGGGATGCTCCGAGGCTTTTTTTCAATACTGTTTTGCTGGTCGCCCATTAACCCGTGTTGTGTGGCCAAATTCGTGTGCTGTGATCTGAAGTGCCGGATGAAATTGCCGACTTCGTACTTCGATTGAATATACTTGCACTTTTCACCTTCAATCCGGCAAAAGGCGCGGTCTCCGTCTCGGTGCACGAATTGAGTAGCCAGTTCGGAAAGGCTTGATTTTCCTTCGCTTTTACGTTTACTTGTACTCTCCATTTTTTGAACTACGTATAATTTCTCTATCACGTGAAAATCAATTGATAAACATTGACCGACTCAAATGAGATGCTCTTTGTATCAAATGACAAAAGTGAACAATGTGATTGGGCATGAATAGTGGATTGAATGAGCGTGCGATCATTCAAATGAGCATACCAAAGAAACGATACGATTGATTCATGAGTGAACCAATCTAACCTGTCAAATCGAAGCGTTTACGAATGACAATGATGATTTGTGAAAGGTTGCCAGATTTGACTGAACAGTTTTCGGTTTTCATTTTCAAAAGAATGAGTTGATATTTTACCGCACTGGTTCCTATACAAAAAGTTGCTGGGACGATTAAAGCCGAAGAGTTTCGTCCCATCAACATGTTGCACACATTAGAGAAAATTTTGGAACTTGTTGTAAAAGGCCAGCTGTTAGAATATTTAAATAGTAACTGTTTGTTGATACCGGAACAATCGGGATACCGGGAAGGCCATTCTTGTGAAACCGCGTTAAACTTAGTGTTAGCTAAATGGAAAGAAAATTTGGAGCATAAAGATACGATTGTTGCTGTGTTTTTGGATCTAAAACGCGCTTTTGAGACAATTTCTAGGCCCTTATTGTTGAGAACAATCAAGCGCTTTGGAATTTCGGGTTCTGCATACAAATGGTTTGAAAGCTATTTATCTGACAGAACACAAAGGACTGTTTTTAATGATTTTGTATCTTGTCCCGTTGACAATGACCTTGGAGTGCCTCAGGGAAGTGTATTAGGGCCCCTTTTATTTATTATGTATATTAATGACATGCGACGAGTTTTACGGTTTTGTGATATTAATCTTTTTGCTGACGATACTGTGTTATTCATTGCAGCTAAAGATTTACAAGAAGCCGTTTCACGCTTGAATGAAGATTTGCGTTCTCTAAGTAGATGGTTGAAGTATAAACAATTGAAATTGAATATAAGTAAAACTAAATTCATGGTAATTTCGCGGAATCGTGTAGATGATGATGTCTCTGTTGTTATTGATGATGAGACACTTGATCGCGTTCAGGAAATTAAATATCTTGGCGTGATTATTGATGACAAACTCAAGTTCAATTCTCATATTGACAATGTCATCAAGAAAATTGCCAAGAAGTATGGAATCCTATGTCGCTTGAAAAACGATTTAACTATTGGTAGTAAAATACAGTTATACAAATCAATCATCTCCCCTCATCTAGACTTTTGCCCATCCATTTTATTTTTGGCCAATGAAACACAAATATCGAGATTACAGCGTTTGCAGAATAAAGTAATGCGTTTGATTTTAAGATGTAATAGATTCACTTCCTCAACTTTTATGCTGGACGCTTTGCAATGGCTGTCAGTGAAGCAAAGAATTGTGTTTTTGACTATGGTGTTCATTTTTAAAGTAGTTAACGGTTTGCTGCCTCGATATTTGTGTGATCGGATTGAAAGAGGAAGTGATTTTCATAGATATAACACTAGAAACGCGGATGAAGTAAGAACACCACATCTTTTGAATAATGCTTCACAAAATTCATTATTTTTCAAAGGTATAAATGTTTTCAATTCGATGCCTAGACACATCAAGCGTGCAACTACACTTACAGAATTCAAGAGACGCTGCATTTCACATGTAAAAGCTGTTTATTGAGCAGTTAAATTTTTATGAATGGATAAATCATGTATCTTGACAAAGTTATCTCTAACGGATTATTTTGTATGGAGACTGTCATAAAGACATTTTAGTAATTGGTGTAGCATATACAAAAAACTACATTGTTTGCCTCGATGGTGATGATGGATTTTTAGTTTTTTGATTTTGTAGTAGTAATAGTAAAAATAGCTTTGAGTAGTCTACGATGGTTTGAGCCTCGCGCGCGGAATACAGGTATAAATGACTAATACGTGGAAATTGTGGCAAAAGCCTTGAATTAGTAAAGGGTTGGCTGGAAGTCGTTTCCTTGGATATAGTCCTGGCACTGCGGAAGCTTAAACGTGTAAATCCCAGGTCACGTGTAAATGGAAGTATTGTCGAGGACTATACTTGGACTTTTGATAACTAGTTACACCTTTGAATGTTTTTGGTTGATGCCTATAGCATATTTAACAGGACATTTATATCTGTAATTGTAACCAGCTCGATTTTGTTTGCAAACCTGGTTAAAATGTTTATATTTAATTATCTTAAAGATAACTCGTCCAGCTCAAACCTTTGTAGGGGTAAGAGGTGGGACCATCATCATCATCATCATCATCATCATCATCATCATCATCATCATCATCATCAACAGCACTTCGCTGTCGATTCATCCTTCCTCTCGATGCAAAATGAACATCTCGCGTCGGGCGAGTCGACATTCGGAATAGAGTGAGAACTGTCGCGCGAGAAGGAAACGAGAATGGTCATCTCGATTCGCGCGAGAAGTGGAATAAACACAAATGTTATTGCCACGAGCTCGCTCAATGACCTGAGCTAAGGCTCTGTCATGCTCGTTTTCATCCTTACCTGCAATCAACACATCGTCGAAATAAACTACAACACCTGGAATATCGCCAAAAATTTGCACCATCCTTCGCTGAAACATTTCAGGCGCATTATTCAAACCAAATGGAACACGATTCCATCGGTATCGCCCAAATGGCGTCATGAATGTTGTCAAATCCGAACTTTTGCGATCCAATTCCTTTTGCCAGAACCCACTACTCAAGTCAACAACAGAAAAGACTTGTTTCCCGGATAAACGACTAAACAAATCTTCTTGAGTAGGGATGAGGATACATTTGTTTAGAGGTTTTGGGTCTATGCAAATGCGTAATTTACCGTTTGATTTTTCAACCAACTGCATATTACTTACCCAATCAGTTGCGTAATCAACAGGAGAAATCACACCTTCCTCTTTCAAACGGCTCAGTTCCAACTTCAATCGATCATGAAGTGCCAACGGGATACGCTTTCGATAATGCAACGACGGAACAGAGTTCTCTTTCAAAACGATTGAAGATTTTCCAGGAAATTTACCCAATCCCTCAAAAATGTCACGAAAACATTCTACGAATGGTTGACTTTCATTAGGAAACTCCGAACGACCTTCTACCGCACTAAGACGCTTGATCAACCCAAACTCAATACAAGACTGTAAGCCAAGCAAAGGTTCAAACGTATGATCGACGACGAGGAACGAAGCACCATACGAACGATTACTGGAAGAATCAACGCAGACCAGCTCTACCTTTCCATGTATTTTTATTTTATTCGAACTGTAATCGAGAATCAGAGCATCACGGAAATCATCAATGGGAAGGCGAAGTTTTTTAACAATCTGAACGGGAATACAATTTACATCGGAACCTGTATCCAGCTTGAACTGAACTGTCTCATCATTGATCCGGAAAACCTTTCTCCATGGCCGGGATCCCTCAAAGCGACCACTCACAGTATTGGAACTCACTCTATAAGAATTTACAACAATTCTGTTATGTTCTACCGCGCATGCATCGTCTACCTGATCTAAGCCTAACAACTTACCAGCGTCGCTCCAGTTGATCAAATGTACCGTTTTATCATTCCTTCCCTCTTGTCTCGATGACTGCTGGTTTTTTTTTTTTTTCTTTTTTTTTTTTTGACCCACCACTATCCCCCACACCAAAGAGCTCACGTGAGCCCCCTGGTAGTGGACGCAACTCTCTCAGCTCAGTCTGTGCAGCAAACTAAGGAACTAATGAAGCTAATAATGAGCTGAGAAAAAAAATATATATATAGAAAAAATAATAATAAAAAAAATGAGGTTGATATTTACATATAGTATAGGTGTGATGTCCCAGTGGAAACGAATTTCCTTTAAAGGGACCCACTTGTATACAAAGTATTAATTCAAAAATGTACAATTATTTTAAACGAGGCACAACTATTGCTTCTGGTAGGTAATACAAGATGAACTCATCCAAGAATGTCGTGTAGATTATCTTTTAAATATTTTTTTAATTTGATTCTAAAAACACCGCGGTTGTTAATTTGTTTTAACTCTAGAGGCAAACGGTTGTATATCTTTGGACCTATAATCGAAATCCTTTTCTGACCAAACATTGTGTGAGCTCTTGACAGTTGTAAATTGTTAGCATTTCTAGTAGGGTAACTATGAGCAGCAAGAGGTAATTGAATAGAATGATGAAAATTATCATGTAGGGTGTCGTAAACAAAAATAATAGTTTGTAATTCGCAAAGGCCA